AAATAGTGGCACTAAAAAAGAAATGTGTCACTGGAGGGGTTCTTAACCGTATTAGTAGTATGCCGAACCGCATTCAAGCTTGCATTGATGTGGAAGGAGAGCATATCAAGTATTAATTTTCTATATGGGCATGTTGCCTCCATTAAAGGCATTCTGGACGTAATTATTTATTTGGCGTTTATTAAAAGATTTGGCCGCCATTAATTCCGCGCTGACTGTACATGTACTATAATCTGTATCTTGAGCTTACAGTAAACTCTGTTTATAACGAACTGATTTAATGGTTGGATTCGAATAAATAATTTTTATTCGAATCTTCGTAACAAAGATTTTTTTTATATTCGAACAATCTTCATTAAAGAGAATATTTTATTCGAACTTCTCGAATAATCAATTGTCATGTGCAACAATGAACTAAATTGGCTATTCAAAAAGTCGTGACGTTCACGGATTCATTATAATTAATGCAAAAATAATAAAGTCTGTTAAATCGAAATCTTTTCGCGCAAATTCGGAGATATCCCCTTTTTTTGATGGATTTATTTATCAGTAACGTTTTTAGTTAATAAAAATTAAATACAGATTCCTAACTGATTATTTTGCGAATTATATTGATAAGTACTGTTGCATTATTTTATTGTCTACATTAAATAGGATTCTGTTCATACTATCACCTTGTGTAGCCACCTCATACCTTATTTTAACTCTTGTTTATTATTTTCTATTCATTTTCTGTCAAAGAATAATCGAGATATTCTTCATCATCTGCCATTTGAAATTGAACAAATAATAGTAAACAAATAAGTATGACAATTTTTATTGTGATATAGTATTCGAATAATTATTAAAAGATTAATTTTCGAATACTCAAAGAATCTATATGTAAGGTAAAAGGGGGCATTGTGGCGAAGAAGGTATTGTGGCGAAGTAATGATATCTCGACAACTAGCGTTCAGAATTGCATGAAAATACCATCATTCGATTTGTCATGTCAAGATGAATCGAATGGTGGTATTTTCACGTGATTTCGATAACAGGGATCGAAACATTGTCACCGTATGCCAAAATTTAATATAAATTGGCGAAGATTTAATATACGGGACAAAGATCTAACATATGGTGATTTTCAAGGTGATATCTCGATAACTAACATGAAAATACCACCATTCGATTCGTTTAGACATGACGAATCAAATGGTGGTATTTTCATGTAATTCAGATAGCTAGTTATCGAGGCATTGCATATTTTCTTTATTTCGCCAAAATACCCCCCTCCCACTCTCCCAAAATTAGCAGCACACAAAACAATCGTTCTTTTCTTTTATTAATTGTCACGTCATTGCAATTTTGCAAGAGTTATACAGAATTTAGCCATAATAAATATTAATATTTGTGCTATCTGTAAAAAGTTTTTCTAATCACGATTTTAACTTCACCACAATCTCTTTTTACTTTATATTTCTTATTCAAGAACATTCGAATAAATTCCATTATATTTTATATAATGAGCTCTTAAATAAACTATATAAATTTTGGTGCAAATTTACAGTGACTCACTAATGTTACTGAACACCAAAAAAAAAATGGCGAGATTCGAATATCTCGCTATTGAAGAATCGTGAACAAATAAAATCTACTAATTTTATTCATTAAATATTTATTATCACTTAATAAGATTTTTATTTTCATTGATCTAATGTCTTTTTTAACTTTTTAATGTTCCATGTAATATGACCGATTGAGATGGAAATAAAAAGATAATTTTTCTTTTTCAAGATAAGATAAATATAATTAAAAATTATCACATTACATATTACTAATTTAGAACTACTGCGTAATCTATATACCTGCTTTTTGCCCCTATTACTTTTCTAATCCTCTTTGACATTGAATTGATCAGCTTTTTGCAATATTCAATTTTGATGCTTTCCCAACTTTTCCCACAGATCATTTTTGCTTAAAAGTGAGCTAGAAAGATTGCATATACGTATCAACCTTATTTCTAGTAGAGTGTCCAGTTTACTGCATTTCTGCGCAGTAATTTACTGCAATTGATACTGAAAAATGTGAAAGATCATTATGATGATCAAATTTAAAAATTTAAAAATCGGGTGATCAAATTTTTTAAAAAAAACTTATTATTTAAAATTTAATAATTATTACTTTTTAATTTTTAGTTATACATTATTTAGAATTTGCATAGATCATTTTTATAATGCAAGTTATAAAAGCCACATCATTATTATCATTATGCAAATTATGTACACAAATCACATTATAAACCATATGGATTCTGCAAATTCTGCAAATGCAGTAAACTGGACACCCTAATTTCTAGTATCCTAGTCATGGTGAAAAAAGTGTGGATTATGTGATTCTGATTCAATACTAATTATCCAATACCTATTTTTCCAGAATTGCTTGTTATATATATAATATACATGTATTGTGTAGTTAATACATGTACAAACACAAACGGAAGTGAACACACCGATATAAATCATCGTTTTTTAAATAAAACACTGTCATAATCATTAACGTTAACGCTAATAAAATAAATGGTAATAATATAATTAATTAATATTCTTATCGCTATATCTTCATAGAATTTCCTTTTATATTAACGTGATTAATGACATATTACGCCTACGACATATTACGTAAAAGAGTATTTGTTATTTACACAACAATAAAAGTTATAGACTTTTTTATCTCATCATTTAATGCGTACGTTTTACGTACTCTTTATTTAATGCATGTTTTTGGGCATGCGTAGTACATGTACATATTCATGTGTCATTTAAATCGATACAAACACAAACGGAAGTGAACGATGACTTCCACACATAAATAATCATTTTTTAAATAAATACTGCCATAATCACTAATAAACTCAAAGATGGCAAATCTTCGAATACTCATAAGTGGTTATTGTCGAGACGATTACTACTGTAATAAGTGTTCAGTTCACAATATTCATGATTTTAGTAAATGTACCAGTTTTCAAGAATGGAATTACTGCAATGAGCTTTATAAATATCACAAACGAAATTATGTTGGATGGTCTAGCGGAAAGAAAGATATCAACAGTCTAATAAATGAATGCGACAGACTTGCTGATGATTATAAACATTTCAAATGGATGGATCCCTTTTGAAAGATTTATCAATGTTGAATATCTTGCAAAAACAACCTACCTGGTTGGACGGACCATTAGATAACGAATGGGGTCATGAAAAAAATAGATTTAAACGAAAGGGAGAATCCAAAGTTGTATTGAAATCATTACGCAATTCAAAGCAAATTACATCCGAGCCTATAAATGAGGTAAAATGAACACCTTTTAAAATGTAAGCATATTTGCATTTTTGTTTTTCAAACTGCTCTAAAGTGCAGTATTATTATAAAATATTATAGAATAACTAAAAAAATGCAAAAGATGTTGATCTACCACTATGCAAATACGTACGTATATGAATTCCAACCACCAAATTAATATTACTCAAGGTTGAATAAAAGCCACAGTGAGGAATTTATGCATCGTGACTTTCACCTGGAAGCATATTAATGTTCGGTGATCCTTTAATTGCTGATTTTGGACTTACCAACCAGCAGATATAGAAAAATCTAATAAAGTAATTCCCTTATACGAGTCCAGAGGTTCTAAATGGAAAGTCATACATTAAAGCTGCAAATATTTATAGTTTCGGGATAATTATGTACGAGGCTAGCGCAGGTGAACAAAGTCATAATTCTTATCCCTTGTATGCGACATTTATAACGGAGTACGACATAGTAATGGTGCAAATTTATTATTGAAAAATGTTGTGATCCTATTCCAAAAAACCAACTGCTGAGCAACTTTTGGACTTTATCGGATCTATCACCCATCGCCGCCATAAAATATACTTCAAGTACTACAGCTCCTTAGAATATTCTAAAACACGTGAAAGAATTATTGAGTGTCTCAAACTGGAAAAGCAGAAATGGAAAGAACTTGATAAGGAGATAAAATTAAAAAGAGCATTCCTTACAAGTACGAACGAAAAACAAATCCACTCAAACTCAGTTTACACTAGTCGAATGTTTACTTCAAAATCAACATCCATTCCGACTAACGCTAACACGGGTATTTTTATTTCTAAATATAAATCACATTGACGTATCATATTAACTAAAATTAATTTATTTATTTAGACACTACAAGTATCAGTAACAGCACTAAATATGATATCGACATACATGTACGTATATCGAATCAACAAGCGTTTGTATGTCTCAAACGAAACAAAGACGATCGCTGCAGTGAATGTTTCGATTTCAGGATATCGACTGAACTGTTTAATAAAGAATCCATAAAAATCAGAAAGCATTTTAAATGGATCCCTTTACCAATGTTGAGTATCTTGTAAAGCATCGTTGCACTACTACGAGTGGGATCATGAAGAGAATAAATTTAAGAGATAATGGATACCAAGTTGTTGTGTTGAATCATTCATGATTCAAAGAAAATTATAAACGAGGTAAACAAAGAATTTCTAAAGTGTAAGCAACTTGCCTTTTTGTATCAAACATAGATTCGGACTGCTCTCACGTTCAGTGATATTTACTTTGGAATGTATTATTATGGAATAACTAAAAACCCAGCTACGGTAAGTCGACGTAATGTATCTTAAAGAAAGAAAAGTAAATATTATACATAATATCAAGCGATGAAATACTCTTTTTGCTGTGATGCTCATCCTAAAAGTGTAAATATTGACTTTTGAAAACATTCGGAGGTAAGTACAATCTATTGAAGAGTTTAGATGTTATGTATCGATTTCGATACTTTTACTTGTCCAATCAAATTCTTTAGATTTGCAAGGTTGACACCAATTTTATCAATGTTTTCGCATTTGCAATTTTCGCAAATTCCATGCATGGTTTATTTTTTATCATTCGAATTGATATAGGTAAGAATACTTTACATTGCATATCAGTCATTGAATTGACATCAAATGACATTGAAGGGAATGACAAATGACATTGAAGGAATGACAAATGAAATTACATTGAAAAAATGGCAAATTACATTGAAAAAAATGACAAATGGCATTGAAGGAATGACAAATGAAATTACATTGAAAAAATTGCAAATTACATTGACATTTATTAACGCTAATACGTACTTGACCGCTACAATCGATCGATAGTGTAACGATACCGATACTGAAAGAATTTGATAAAAGAAAACATTTTCTTTCAGTTTACGTAAATTTTTGCCTTGAAAATAAAATAGTGCAGCGGGCGATCCTATGGAGGGTATTGAGGCAACGAAACGAACGGACTTTACAATATTTTTACCATTGATAAAAAATGTTGAAAAATACGCGGATAAAGTTGGAGAATGTTATGAAAATGCCGAATATAATAGAAGAGTTTGCAGTGTATTACTGAAACGTGTTAATAGCGCTGCAGGCGAAGTGAAGACTTTACGTCAACTAAAAAATGATCACAGTTGGTTTTTTGAAAATAGTGAAAATTATTCAATTTTTCAAGGATTCGTTACAGTGATCGAAAAAATTCAAACTTTTGTTATTGATGTTTCACAGTTGCAAGGGGTCGGTAAATACTTTAATGAATATCGAGGCCCCGAATTTTCGATGCATAGAAAATTTTCTACTCTTATTGGAGAATTCGAAAGGTCCACAAAAGCACTTAACAAAGCGTTAAAGGGCCAGCTCTACTTTGGAAGTCCAAAAACAGATCAAAACAACAAAGATGAAGAAGCTATAAATTTGGACATTCGTGATATGAAAAATGTAATATAAAGTCCTTATAAAAAACTAATAATTACATATTAAATAATTAATCTATTTATGCAAATTCTTGATTAGTATATTAGAATTATCGCTGGTGGTATCGCAGACGGACAAAAGATTTTAGAAGGAGTAGGAACTATCGCTACTCTGAACAAAACTTTTCAGAGAAAAGAAAATATCGTTCTTTTTGATGAAGTACTCGACGACGCAGTGCTTAATATCCAACACTTTCAGTATACCGGCTTTAAATACAATAAAGTGTTCAAATATATGAGATACGATGTCGAAGTCGCATTCAAAGAAATTGACGTTGATAAAGAGACTCAAGATAATATTAAAAAAGAAGTCACAATCCTTAAGAAATTAAAAGGAGCAGAGAATATAATCGTGTTTCACGGAGTCATAATTGAGCCGAATAAACAAACTGAGCCGAATAGTAAAATTAAAATTTCTCTGGTAACCGAATGGGCTACCGAATCAAGTTTGAGGGATTTCTATCAAGATAAAAGATTGGATTGGAGTCTACAAATAAAATTCGCTTTAGATATCTCTAGAGGATTAACTTATTTAAAAAGTGCCGAAATTTTACATCACGATATTCGCAGTCAAAATATTTTTATCACAAAAGGCAATCTACAACAACAATATACAGCAAAAATCGGCAATTTCGGTTTAAGTCGTGGTTTAAGAGATGCTACTACAAATATTCGTGAAGGTGTCGATAACGTTCGATACATGGCACCAGAGAAACTTAAAAATAATAAGTATCCATATGATTTTAAATGTGAAATATATAGGTAAAAATTTACATGAATGCCTATCAATGATAATCCTATAAAAATTTTTTCTTATTAATTTTATTTTATAGTTTTGGAGTGCTTCTTTGGGAAATAGCTGAACAAAAGACCCCATTTCAAAGTATT